TGAGAGACCATCTCAAAAGTAAAAACAGAAACAAAACAACAACAACAAGAATGAAAACCCAGGTGGACAGCATCCAAAGAATGATTATCCAAGGTTGTCCTCTGGCTTTCACATGCATGCGCACACATGTACGTGTGCACAGATAGGTATACACACACATACAGATTGTGTATAGCTAAATGCACGTATCTCAGTTGGACTTTTCCAGAGTTTTGCCCATGTCACACCCTAAGAAAGAGAGGGAGCCAGTTTCCCACTAGGAAGGGAAGGCTCAAAACTGAACTGCAAGCGAAGGGCAGTTATAACCCTGTCTTCAGGTATCCCAAACTCAGCAGAGGCCAAGCTGAGGAATAAGAGCAATGGTGAAAGTATTACCAACAATTCTGCATTTGTATTACAGTTTAGCTGCACGAGCCTGTGGAGTCTGTATCTATGTGAGCAAGTTTCATTTAGTTATTTTCTCTCAGTTAAGAGTCCAATGTACCTACTGACTAGTGCTAAGTACATATAACATGTCTAACTGCAGGTGCCAAGGGAGGGAAAGCTATCAAGTTTCTCTCTAGTGTAAGGTATCATGGATCTATAAGCTGGGAGCATTGGTCTTATCGGGCCTCACTATCAACCTGGAATCGGAAGTCATTTTTGCACAGCTAGGGAAAATAAGACAGATGGTAACACTGACATGAAAAGTATACTCATTGAGGGGCTTAAGAGACGGCTCCATGGCTACGAGCAAAGAGCACTTGCTGTGTAATTGTTAAGGACCAGCATTCATCTTCCAGCATCCATACACAAGCTGGGTGTCCTGCCCATGTCTGCAAATTCAGCTCTAAGAGAAGCGATGGTTTCTGGGGCTTGCTGGCTTCTGACCTAGCAAGGAAAAAAATATAAACCCTATGCTCAGGGAGAGATCATGCTACCAAGCAATGGGCAAGAGTACTAGAGGAAGGTGCCTGAGACCCTCTTCTGCTCACAAGTATGGGCACCTACACTCACATATGTGCAGATACAAACGAACAAACTTTTGAGGCTGGACATGTGACTCATCTGTAGAGAACACACACTACTCCTGCAGAGGACCTGAGTTCAGCTCCCAGCACCTACATCAGGTAAGTTCATAACTGCTTTTAACTCTGGCTCTAGGAGATTCATCTCCCTCTTCTGGTCTCTTCTGGAACTGCACTCACATGCATATACTGGTACCCCCAACACACACACACACACACACACACACACACACACACACACACACACACACACACAAACTAAAATAAAATGAGAATCCTTTACAAAAGGAAAGTTATCGATGTTAGACGCAGAACTTTTAGCCAGCTAGTTTTCTTCCCAAGTTAGAATGATGGCCAGTTTTTGTTGCTTTAGTAAAATAACGACAGTGTGTGCCCTTCACTATTGGAGGTGGAATAGATCCTTGAATGCCATAGTACAGCAAAATTTGCAAAATGTCAAGTCAGTGTGTGAGCAGGGCGGAGAGCCTCAGTCATCCGAGGGGGAGAGTGGGAAGGCTTTCATCACCCAAGGGACATAGCTACTCTTGCATTTCGGATTTTTGCATATGATACTGTTTATCGGTTCTGTTGTTTTCCTGTTATGTACTCAGAATTGATTTCCGATTCTCACTTTGTCTGAGCTAAAATAAACATCCCTCCTTGGCGGATTCTATAAAAGTCAGAATAGTGGCTGCTTCTGAGGGGAGGGAGGTAGGGCCTGTAGACGGCAGAGGCCCCAGGGAGCTCCAGTGTGGGTGCCGAAGTTCTGTTTCTAGTTCCCACTGTGGGTAGAGCGGAGTTTACCTTATTAAACTGGGCACTTATTCTGTTGAGTTGCTATTTTTGTGTTTTATATTTTACAATAAAAGTCTAAAAGAAAATACATAGAGATGTTAAGATTTGACAAGGCTGTGTGCTTATTGTTTCTTTCATTTAAAAAAATAACCGCATTTTTGTATTACTAGAATATTTCATGATACAATTTTAACTTAATTCTCCTTCTTGCTTTCGAAATTCTCTATAAAAGCACCGAACTTTTGTTTTTAGTTAATTCATCTTAAAGGAAAAAAATTGTCTTGTTGTGTAGCCCAGACTAACCTAGAAATCATTATGTATTCGTAGCTGGCCTCTAACTCCCTAGTACTCATCCCCTGAGTACTAGAACTACAGGTGTGCACCACAAACACCCCACCTAGGGTCACAGTGGGTTTTCTCTTATTTTCTTTGATCATTATTATGTGAAAGTGACAGGCTGTCACAGACTTTTTTTTTTTTTTTTTTTTTTTTTGGTTTTTACGAGACAGGGTTTCTCTGTATTGTTTTGGAGGCTTATCGGTCCAGCCCGGCCTCGAACTTACAGAGATCCGCCTGCCTCTGCCTCCCGAGTGCTGGGATTAAAGGCGTGCGCCACCACCGCCCGGCTGTCACAGACATTTTAACTCTGGACTTCTGAACTTTGCTCTTTTCCTAGGCTAGCATTACACAATGATGTTTTCTTCCCCGCCTCCCCTCTTATCTTTTTTGTTTGTTTTTATTTTTCAAGACAGGGTTTCTCTGTGGCTTTGGAGGCTGTCCTGGGACTCACTCTGTAGACCAGGCTGGCCTCTAACTTGCAGAGATCCGCCTGCCTCTGCCTCTGGAGAGCTGGGACTAAAGGCGGGCGCCACTACCACCTGGCTAACAGTATGATGTTTTCTTTGTGCTGGTCAGCAGCATCTAGCCACAGCTCCCTGCAGCCACGTGATCACATGGGAAAGCACATGGCTCTGTAGTACACTGTGTTGCTGGAGGTGTTTGGAGCAGAAATATTCAGTAAGTTGCATCAAATTTCTCTTTCTTTTCCTCCTCCTCCTTTTCTGTCATTTGTTAATTTCTTTTATCATAGTACCCCAACCCTAATTCCTCCCAGATAGACTCCCACCTCCCTACCTCTCCAACTTTGCAGCCCCCCTACCTTTTTTTTAAAATAACCAATCTACTCTAACCTGCAATGCCCATATACTCCTGAGTGTGGAGTCATTCACTAGCTCATGCTCAACCTACCAGGAAAGACACTCTTAAAGAAACCTAACTCTCTCTCCCCTACCAACTGTCCGTAGCTCCTCAGTCTGGGATGGAGAGGCTCATGAATCCCTTTCCTACTTAGAACTGAGTTTTGATATGACTTTCACTTTTGACATTTGTTAGAACTGATAGTATGTGATAGCCATTTCAAAACTATCGCTGGTACCTTTTCCTGTTTCTTTCTTTCTTTTTTTTTTTCCTTTTCTTTCTTGTCCTGAGACAGAGTTTCACTATATAGCCCAGGCTGACCTCAAATTTGCAATGCTATACAAACCAACTGTTTGGTTAGCCTGATTCACTTTCCATAGAATATTTGGCCTTTACTATACATTTTTACAATTTCTAATTCAGTTTTATCTGAGTAGATCTGCTCATTGCCAAAGTGAATGGGAATAAAGGACCTACTGAGACAATTTATAGCAAACTTTTCTTGCTACAATTATTCAAATTTAAGCAAAGGTAAGAATGTCGATATAATTTCTTTGCTTGCATTTTATCTACACATTACTCTGTGGTGGCATATTATTTATGATTTATTAAAGCTTGCCTAAGGGTTCAAAAGCAAAGCTAGCCACAAGTCATAGAGCCAGGCAATAGCGATACACCCATTTAATCCCAACAGTCATACTATCAAACCATAAGAGCCAGGCAGTGGTGGCACAATCTGAGTTCAAGGCTACCCTGGCCTACACAAGAGTGAAGGGTAACAGAGCTCATGCCTTTGATCCCAGCACCAGGGAGGTATAAAAGGAAGAACCAAGGGGTCTCATGAGGCAATTAGTCTCCAGTCACATAGTGGAGAGGCATCAGTCTGAGGCTTGTTTGGTGGATACAGGATTGACATTTCAGTTCGAGGGAGAGGTAAGAGCTAGTGGCTTGGCTGTTTTGTTTCTCTGGTCTTCAGCTTGAAGCTTGAACCCCAATATCTGTCTGGGTTTTCATTATTCATGTAACATTACTCCTGGTTGCTCTTTTGTTGGGTCCTCGTGGTCCTTGATATACAAACAGCCAATGGCTAATAGGACCAGGTAATCCAATCATATGTAAGCGCTCAGCAGGCATCCTGTCCCTGTGCAATACCATCCAGTGCAATCACTCAACAGGACAGTGAGACAGCTGCTATTACTATCTGCCATTTAAAGATCAAGAGGGGGGATGGGTGAGGATGGCATTCACAAGTCACTCTGCTAGCCTGGGGGAGCAGAGCTGATTGACAGGCCTGTAACCTGTGTCATAATCCTGTCTATGTCGAGGTGGGCTCTGTACCTGCTCTGCTGTTCGAAGGCATTCTTAACAATCATTGGGTAGAGGCCCTACATCTGCATTTTACTCAGAGCCACGCAACCCCATGGGGTAGAGTTGCACCTCGGACCTGAGGGGTGTGCAATTAACCCCTACGCTTTTCTGCTGACTTGCATGACTCTAAATGGAATGAGGAGAGGTATAGAAAATGAACCCAGCAACAAAGCAACCCAAAGAAATGGATTCGCAGCGATCCCTAGTGACAGGTGACCAGGCATCACCGCAAAGGTGAGCAAAGACACGGAGAGACCAACCTGGGAAGAATATGTTGAAAGACGATTTCTGCCTAAATTAGCAGTTCTTGGGAAAAGAAATTAATAAATGGCAATTCTTCCTTCTTGGGAAGACACGGAGTCCTTTGACACAGAGTTCATTTCCCTTCATGCGGCACGTGGATCTTCTCTGGAGAAGGGTAGAGGCCATACAACGTGCGGATTTGCTGGTGTCTCCCATCCGGAGACAGACGCGGCCCCCAGCCTGTGTACTTAGAGCAGTGGGTCTCACCCTTCCTCATGCTGCAACCCTTTAATACAATTCCTCATGTTGAGGTGACCCCCAACCATAGAATTATTTTCGCTGCTACTTCGTCAACTGTCGTTTTGCTACTGTTATGAATCGTAATGTAAACATATGATATGCAGGTTCTCTGCTAGGCGCACGTTGAGAATCGCCGACGTCGGGCCTCTTCCACCCTTGGCTCAGATGGAGGCCTGGTAAATAATGAGCACCCCGAATATGTGAGGTACTGCGTAGCCACTCTTTCAACTGCCCCTTCGTTCCCCCACTTCCCTGGTCCCCTCTTCTCTGGGATCGGGCCACTGCCTCTTCTTGTCACCGCTTCAAGCCTTTGTTTTGCTGAGACCTCCGTCTGTTCTTGCTTCCTTGGTTGAGTAGCCCAATTTGAACGACTCATTATTAGCTTGTTTAATTTGGCCTCAAGGGTCATCATGGCTTGGCAGGGAGGTGAAGCTTGGCTCTCATTCCTTCATGGGTGGACTTGTTCGGTGGAGAGCCAGAGCTGGGGTGGGTGGCAGTTTAAGAAAAAGAAAAAGAAAAAGAAATCAACGTGGAAACTGGGACAGAGTCCCGATCTCCCATGTGCCGTGACCCGCTGAGGCCTGGCCACCCGTCTAGAGAACTTTGAGGCTTCCATGCCTCAGGAATACTAAGTCTCTTAGCTTAGTTCTTACTTCTTAATCAGAAAAGGGTCCCAGGAAAAACAGCTCTTGCTTGCCACGCAGGTCCTTGGCGAGGGTTCAGTGGGAGTTACCCACATTCCACCCCCCACCACGCCCAGCTCCACAATGGCCACCATTGTCTCCCAGAGGACTTCGCTTGTGCCTGGGGAGACTGGCAGAGGAAGCTCACTGCATCCAGCTGACAGATTCAGCCTCTCAGAGCTGTATACTCAAGCAGTTCCCAACAGCCCACATTCCACACTGAAGCACTATCTAGGTGACAGAATGAGTCACTTTCTTCACTCTGGACTAAGGATGAACACTGAACAATAAAAGCAATCCTGGCACTTAGCCCCGAGGTTTGTTTAGGTGAGTGCCGTGACACCCTCTCAGGCAGCATAAAGCCATTGTTGTTTCTGCTCTGCCAATGCAGAAACTCAGTTTCCCAGAGGTGTGATTGGCCCACTGTTTATCTCAGAGGTTAGCCTAGATGCCTCCTATGCCAAGAACAGCATCTCTGTGTTACTGAGTCAGCTTTCTTAATGCTATTTCAGAAAGCTTAGGTGATATATGGGCAGCATAGACCCGACTCTGGGTTATAAGAGAAAAAAAGAAAAGAAAAGAGGACGTGAAGTTGGGAAGGGGTGGGCGCTGAAGGGTGGGTTTGCATGGAGTTAGGAGGAAGAGTGGGGATGAATATGATAAAAAATGCATCGTAAGAGTGTATAAAAGTCTCAAAGAATTAATAAGATAACGATGTTTCAGTCTTTAATTTCTTTTCTGCATTTATTTAATTTGCTTCTGCATATGTCTTAGGGACATGTGTCAAGGTCAGAGGACAATTTGAAGGAGTCATTCTCTCCTCCCACCATGTAGGCACCAGAGCTTGAGTTCAGGTGGTCAGCTTTGGAGTAGGTACCTGTACCTTCTGAGACATGTCAGCATCCATATATATATATATATATATGTTATGAATATATATATCAGTTATGAAAATATTGTTGAGAGTAAGAGAATAACAGAATATAAAGTTACTCAGCCTATTTGGTAAAACAATTGGATGATGCAAAACCTTGGTATTTACATCTTACCTTTCACAGAGTGAGTTTTACATGTTTAATAACCTCTAATGCTATTAGATGTCACTGTATCCTGATGCCCTACTGAAGTGAGAGAGAGTGTGGTTGAAAAGGAGGTCCAAATCCCTGCTATAGAGGGAGTGTACCTGAAAAGAGGAATTCTAGACCCTGACCTCATGGGTTCACAGCCCTATGGGGCCACTTCTTACTCATAGAACTTTGGTAAAGTCTTAAATTCTCGCTGCTTCAAGGAGATGATGATGGGTGTCACACCTGCCTTGTGAAGAATGTGTCAGTTACTTGTGAATATCGGCTGTTGTCAAGTAGGTAGCTACCAAAAGAGATGTCTCCACTACTCATTAAATGGAAACTGAATTGGTAAGGTGGTTCCGTGCCTGAGGGAGCTTGCTGCCAAGCCTGAAGACTGGACTTCAATCCCTGATTGTCACATAGTAGAATGATAGGACCAATTAGAACCAATTCATGAAAGTTATTCTCTGAACTACATACATACACACACACACACACACACACACACACACACACACACACACACTATGTTTTAAAACTGAGTCTATAACAATTTCCTTTTAAAGACACTTTTAGGCCTGGGGATGTAACTCAATTTGTAGAGTGCTTACTTGGCATGCAATAGGCCCTGGGTTCAATTCCCAACACAGCTAGAAAGACAGCACACCTGTAATCCTAATACTAGAGAAGCAGAGGCAGGAGGATCAGATGCTGCAGGCCATCCTCAGCTATATAGTGAGCTTGGGTTAGCCTAGGCTATAGGATACCACATTAAAATAGTAGCAAGAACAAACGGAAGGCCAGGGATTTGGACCAGCCCTAGAGTGCTTCTCACCACATCTAAGACTCTAGGTTCCATGCCCAATGCCTGGGGGCCTGGTGAGACCAGTTTATGAAACCCCTTTCATTTATTATGAACTTCTTAATTTCCCCACAGTGAACATTATTTTTAGTAAAAGTTATGTGAAATTAGATCCACCTTCTGTAACAACCACTTACTGAGCATTATTTTGGGGATCAGTGCCTGGGTTAGCACAGGAAGTGGTGCCAGACCCTCCAGGACCATGCAATTGAGGGCACCTGAAGAATGTAATCACGTGACTGCTGTCCATGCAACTGGATCTGGGATGCCCCCATTGCATGGTCCTGGTTGTTACAGAAGGTGGGCAGTGTTTGCTAGGCAGTGTTGCAGACTAGGTGAGATTTGTTACTGGACACAGATGGTAGAGGGGGTGGTTCCTCCTTGCTCTCCAGGTTAAAGACCTGAAGGGCATCTTAGCTGACCTCAAGTCACCATGACAGAAGGAGTGGTTTGATTCCTGGGAGAAGTCATGGTCGCAGGTGCTACAAGTGGATGCTCACAGGAAGTAGGGAGAAGACCATGTGGGAACTAAGCTTGATTTTCCTTTCTGTTCAGTCCTGGACCCCAGCCCATGGATGATATTGCCCACCTGTAGGGTGGGTCTTCTCACCTTGGTTAACTCAATCTAGAAACTCCCCCACAGACCTATGCAGCGTGTCCACAGGTGACTCTAGTAGATTCCGGTAAGCCGAATGAAATATCAGACACATTGCGATGGGAAGAACCTGGTTTCTAGAAAGACTGGCAATGATTTAGAGCAGTGGTTGTTACTCTTCCTGATGCTGCAACCATTTAACACAGTTTCTCGTGTTGTAGTGACCCCAACCATAAAATCATTTTCATTGCTATTTTGTAACTATCATTTTGCTACTGTTGTGAATTGTAATGTAAATATCAGATATGCAGGATACTTGATATGTGACCCCTGTGAACGTTTTGTTCCAACCCAAAGGGGTTGCACCCAACCGGTTGAGAACATCTGATTTTTTGGCTTATACTGTGAACCGCATAGCATCATGTTTTAAGCAAGAAAGCAATGCAGATGTAACACGCCAGGTCCCTGGCAGCATTGTGGAGACAGCATCAGGAGGCTGGGGTAGGGTTGGACTTGGGATGTGGATCTGCCAGGAGGATTTTGTAATAGTCCGGGAAAGAGGTCACAAAGCCCTGATTAGCTAATCACATAGATTATCTAATGGGCCCCTGTGGACAGAAACAGCCAAGCCAATAATGATTCAGCTGTGGCACGTAGGAGCTCTGGCAGGGCGATCTGCCAGCATGCAACACTCAGACATGTTTAGCATGCTGTTTGTTGCAGAACATGTTAGTGTCTTTAAACGCCCATCCATTTTAACCCCTGGTTATAAAGACAATATATATTCAGGGTAGAACTATAGAAACTTTAGGAATGTGCAAAAAAAGAAAAATGAGAACATGAAAAGAAGTTAAATGCATATAAAAATGTACCTGAAATAGAGGATGTTAATTATCACCTGTTTACTTAAACCATGTATATATGGTAAAATAAAATAAAATACAGCTTATAGGATAGACAATTAAAAGTATGTACCACTGAGCAATCTCTGCCCCCTTGGTTCTCTCCGAAGCACAGAAATAAATGGCATGTGTATGTGTAGATATTAACTTATTAGGTTTTCACAAAAGAAGCCCATGAAATAGACTCATGTATACTTTGCAGTTTGACATACAGATAAATACAGAAACAGCAATGACAACTTATGTTAGGGCTGGGATTTGAATCCATGAAGTTCATCTCTGTCTTGCATTTTGGAACTCCTGTGGTTTGACCCATTGCATTTACACACAACAACAGTGACTCATGGTGCTTGAACCCACTGTTTCTAACTGAACTTTGGACAATGATAGAAGTATGTACTCAAACCATCCGGTGCAGAGGTCACTAGTCTCCTGGTGCGAATGGTTGAGTTTTACAATTGCTAATACTGAGAACACGAGGCAACACTGCACACTTTAATTGATTTGCTTTTAAGTCATGTAAATTTGAAGGTCAATCAGGCTGCCCATTTTACTGCATGCATCTACATAAGCTAAAAAGTAACTGTCCCCACCTTGGTTCATAATCCCTGATGTTGTAAGCACAGGCACCGTGCCACCTTTACTTGTGACATTAATTCTGCCTCTTGATCATCAATTTCATTTCAGTCATCCCTGTAGTTATGGAGGTCCAGCAAGGTCCTTGAGCACGAAAGACGAGTACTCTATCACTGAGCATTGCTCTCTGCTTTCATGCCCACCCTGAGAAGGCCCATAAAACTGTGCCCACTTTTATATTTCTCCGTTTACATACTTTTAACATTGCATTGTCAACACCATGCAAAATGAGGAGTTAGGATGTGTACATCTTCTGCCAACATTTGCTAAGTAGCTCTCCTGTGGGAGACCTGCATCCATAGTTAGGATACTTTGGATTGGCCCTCCTGCTGGATACCTACATCAATAGTTAAGATGCTTCAGATAGCAAGTATGAGAAAAAAAACCCATCAAGTTCTGGATGGTGACCTCAGAGGTGGCGGTCATAGCTTTGTGTACTCCTATCAGACTGTCAAGAGAGAAAGCATGGCTGAGGCATATTATGCTTTCCCTTCCAAGGTCCTTGTTCAGGAGATTTTTCTCCCCACTACAGTGATAGTGAGGTGGGAGGAGTTTTCAGAGGTGGGGTTAGTGGAAGCTAATTAGGTCACAAGGGCTCCATCCTCATGAGTGGATTAATGTGGCCTCAAGGGAGTGGGTCAGTCTCATGAGACTAGATGAGTTTCTGAAGAACTGGTTGTGGCAAGTAAGCCTGGGCCATCTCTGAATTTCTTTTCTGCACATGCTCCAACCATCATGTTATCTATTTTGAGGCTCTACCCGAGGCAAGCAGATGCTGAGACAATCCTCTTAAGTCTTCAGAACCACAGATTAAATGAACCCGTTGTCTTCATAAATGATATAGCCTCAAGTATTTTGTCACAAGCACTCAAAGCTACCAAAGACAGCATGTATGGTTCTTGTCATGCTCTAGTCACCACAGTAATCTTAAGACAAGCAGACACACTTTTATTTGTACATTAGTGTTTAACCATTATTTATTTCACTTATTTAACTATAGATTGGTCAGGGTTAGCTGGTTTAGGTTGAACTTGGCTGAGTGGCTCTACTGAACTTAACCAGGACTGTTCACATTTCTGAGGAAGCTGACTAAGGATCAGCCAATCAAATTGGACTGGTCCTGACAACTCTAGCTCACACAACTGTGCTCCTTTCTTCTCTTATACCCCTCCAGGGACCAGGGACCACCTGAATGATGTCCAAAGGGAAGCACAAGACCAGCTAGACAATTGTGCATCAACCT